GCTTCCTTTCATTGAGAAACAATCCTAAGACAGTCCAAAACAATCAACTTAGTCAAACGCTCTATTATAAAGATTATTCTAAGTTATTCTAAGTTGTTTGGATCGCAGTCTGAAATCATGTGTGGTAAATACAATCAAATACAAGACAGCAATGGCTGTTTGATGGTGTGTGACATAACTTGGTCAGATGATACAGCGGGGAAAATTTGATAGATACAACTACGGCCTGGTAGAAACCCGAAATTTTGTACACTGACACGGCATAAGCTGACATATAAGAAAGGTCATTTGTAGGGGTTATAACTCTGCCAGCTAGCTAGTGCAGGAGACTCAGAAAACTGATTTTAAAACATAAGTAATAAGGTGCGAAATTTGGTTCGGGGATTTTAAATGTATGGTCATCCACTAGATTGGGTGATGAAATGCACTTCGAAGGTGAAAGTGCTATCGTGTGAGTATCAAAACATTGATGAAGGAGAAAAAGAAAAACTAGAAGTAGAGACATCGCAATATAGGTATCATAGCTGGATACGACACGGACTCAGATACGGTAATACTTTATAAATTGGATAACAGTTGATGCCAAAAGCTTTGAACAACAAATCACAATCCATAAATATTTTACGTGAAGACTACAGAACACCCCCACTGAATATGCTAAAGCGTTCCATCAAAAGGATTTAACACTTACATCTAATTTTTAACAGGTTCTCTTGCTAGAACAAAATTACATGAGAATGGCATCTACCTGCGCAACTTTGATAATACCAAAAAAATGAACGCAAAGTTTACAGCATTAGACATTTTTGCTAAATTTCAGCTTCTACGATGTACAGCGTTATTTTCTTGCCCGTTACAGGCAAAGAAAATAGAACATCAATCATTTACAGGCTACACTTTGAACTGCTAGGTACATGAGCAAATTTTAATAATTTTAGGTTTAATATACCAGCAGAACCAGACTTAGATGCGAGTTAAGTGTCCAGTCTTCTTGAAAAAGCGTTTGTAAAGCACATTCGTGTCAAGTTGTGGAATGTTAATATTTCCACTAACCTCACTCGAAGACAAAGAAGTATCAGGATTGTTGAACAGACTGCATAACAATGTGGTTGTCAATATTACGTCAAGTGTTCTGTTCAGAAGTATAGATAAAACACAAGTACAATAGTTTTTAGGCGATTAATCAAAACAACAAAGTTATCCTAAGATCAGGAATGAGAACGGATGACAAATATGTCACTAGATTGATTGGGGTGGGTTGAATAAGTGTTTAAGTTGGTGGATTTGATGATTAGTAGACCGCTCAACTTGTGCCATCGATAAACGGAATTTATTTCAATTCACGTTATCAACCAATGACATTGGTGGAATGCGTATATGATTTATTAAGCATGACATGAGTGACCAAAGAAAATCTTCTTAATGTTACACAACCCGTTTCGCGTTGGTCGTCGCTCATTAGTTATATGTATGAGGTAATCTATCATCCTTTAGTTTACTTAATTTAATCCTGAATACATTTATAACGTGTGATGCAGGCCGTATTTTTTGCTCATGATCCTTGTCAGGTTTATCCGCAAGCCCATTCGCTTACTCTATGAAATAGTAGCTGTCTGGTTATTGCACTCTGTAAACCGTTACATAAATAAACTATGCGTGTTACTGGACATAACTTAATTCCAAGTTATCACTTTAAGATAGAACACAGTTAAGGAATCTCAGTCAGGATTTTCTCAATTGACTTTCACCAGCAGAAAAGACTAGTATAAGCTGGTTGGAGTAGTGAAGAAATATAGTAAATGTATACAGTGGTTTACCCAAGAATAATTGAATCACAGTTGACACCCCCGACCGGTGTTTTCAGATACGATATATTTCTATCATCCTTGACTAATATAACTTTGCAACTATGGATACAGAACTTGTAATAACAAGTTTTCGGAATAAAGGTTATTCTGGTAAATGCGAGTTGTTTACGTCGGTAAGAATTCTGAGTACAATACACAACACTAAAAAATATTTATAGCTATATACATATACAGATGTTGGAATACTTAACAACTTTATCACAAATTTAAAATAAATAAACATTTCACACTCAAGAGAAATGATATTTTTCACATAACTTTTGCCAACTTTCTAGCTTTTTTGTTTTGATCGAGAATCCTAAATGAAATTTGTTACAATCTGTCGGATTATCCTTATCACCAGCACCATATGTGAAGTAAATCAAAATGTCATCTTATATGATTGAAATTATTCACTAAACAATAATGAATACATAAAGCTTAACGCCCTTCGAGTGTGCATAACTATCGTGATTTCCAGGAAGACCATTTATGGTCATGGTACCTGAATTGTTGAAGGTTGGAAACGACCAAACCTTCCGGACAGAAGTACCTTTGACAAAAATCATGGGGTTGATGAGGCTGAATCAGTAAATACCCTCATCATCCTGACTTCATAGTATTTGAATGCATCGGATAGCAAGTTATTCATAATAGAAGACAAGTTTTCAAAATTATTGCTGTTGAAACTGAGTTTGAAAGACAGGGCTC